GTATCGTGGATTTTCAGGAGCCAGCCGGCCACTCCCAGCCACAGGCCCCCTTCAGGGCTGGAGGCACCACCGAGTACAGAACTGACAGGGCCAGATCCAGGGATGGGGTGGAGATGGAGGGGGGCTTCACGTAGGCAAGTATGCCAGTGCTCAGGAACAGGGAGAGCACGGCCAGGTGAGGGAGGTAGGTGGAAAAGGCTTTGTGCCATCTCTGCTCAGAGGGGATCCTCAGCACTGCCCTGAAGATCTGCACATAGGAGAACACAATGAACACAAAACAACCGAAATTTAAACAGACACTAGCAGCAAGAAGCCCCAGTTCCCTGAGATAGGAGTGTGAGCAGGAGAGCTTGAGTATCTGGGGCACTACACAAAAGAACTGGCCAAGGACATTGCCATGGCACAAGGGCAGAGAAAATGTATTGGCTGTGTGCAGCAGAGCAGTGAGAAAGGCACTGGCCCAGGCAGCTGCTGCCATGTGGGCACAAGCTCTGCTGCCCAGGAGGGTCCCGTAGTGCAGGGGTTTGCAGATGGACACGTAGCGGTCGTAGCACATGATGGTCAGGATATAAAATCCTGTTGAAATGAAGAACAGAAAGAAAAGAGCTGTGTAGCACATCCTCTGTAGGAGATGTTCCTGGTGTCCCAGAGGGAATTGTGCATGGCTTTGGGGACAGTGGTGCAGGCGGAGCCCAGGTCAGTGAGGGCCAGGTTGAGCAGGAAGAAGAACATGGGCGTGTGCAGGTGGCGGCCGCAGGCTACGGTGCTGATGATGAGGCCATTGCCCAGGAGGGCAGCCAGGGAGATGCCCAGCAAGAGGCAGAAGTGCAGGAGCTGCAGCTGCCGTGTGTCTGCCAATGCCAGCAGGAGGAAATGGCTGATGGAGCTGCTGTTGGACATTTGCTGTCCCTTCGCATGGGGATCTGTAAAATAGTAATGACCGAATTATTGGGCTTGGAGAGGAACTGAATTATCCCAGCACAGCTTGGGGGCTCTTTTCCCCCACTGCCTGCCCAGGGCTCTGCTGCCTGGAGCTGTCCCTTCCAGCAGCTGCTTCCCTGTGCCCAGGGCTGGGCCCTGCCAGTGCTGCCAGAGCCCAGCTGAGCCCTGGGGGCTCAGCTCTGCCCTGCAGACCCCTCCCAACTCTGGCACTGCCAAGGGGCAGCTCTGGCTCTGCAGGCTCTGATGAAAACTTCAGAGGAACCCTGAGGAGACTGTAAAAGCAACACTAATGCTGCCTGTGAGGGGCCCTGTGCTGATGTCTGTCACTGCGTGGTTTATTCAGATCTGAAAGGGGTTTTTTTATAAATTCTACGCCTGAACTGAGAGAATAATATCTATGTGCAGTTTCTCATCCAGGCAACCCAGTGCAGTAGATTAATAAAGCAGGATTTTCCCTTTTGTGCAGCCCCTGCCTTGATGTGCTCCCTCTATAATCTTCTTGGAAATGTTCTGCAGTTAAATGCCATGCTGGGAGCAGTCCTGAACAATGCAGTATCCGCAACACAGAAGGAGAAAACATCTAAGCCTTACCAGCTGTCTCCTTCCACCCAGATCTTGTCCCCCACTGCTGGGAGCAGCTGCCAGAGCTGGCTGACAGCTGTCCCTGGCGGCAGCAGAGTCCCTGCCCCAGCACAGCGCCCTGGGCTGCAGGACCCTGCTCTGCACGACAGCCCTGGGCACCCCTGGCTGCTCTGCACAAGAGACAATCAGAGAATGTACTCACAGGGTCTGTAGGCATTGGGATGTTCCAGCTTCAGGAGATCATTCCAGGAACTGCAGCTGCATTGTCCTGCAGCCAGAGGTTCCTGTGCCAAGGGCTGGCAGTGATTCTGCCCCAGGCACTTCTCAGCACCTTCCCAGCCCTGACTGATTGAAGCTCTCTGTGCCTCTGTGCTGTGCCTGGGGTGGCTGCAGGCAGTGCCCCAGCCCTGCTGGACTGGCAGAAGAGCTGCTCATCAAGAGAAATGTGCTTTTGAAGCTCTGCTTGGTTACCAGGAGCTGCCTCTGTGCCAGGAGCCCAGCCCAGCTCAGCAGCACAGACATAGCAAAAGGACTTTAATGAGCCTCTGAGGCTTTGTGCTCAGGCCCTGAACATCAGTCCCTGAGAGGGAGCTGATGATACCTCTCTAGAACTCCAAGTCAGAATCCAACTCCAAAGTTTCTTGGACTTTTAATGGGTCCCACTGAGAAGCACGACTGAGAAAGTGTCCCCAGGCCCCAGGCAGAGCAGACAACTGGAGGCAGTGATGACAGGTGGGGACAAAGAGAAGACAAGTCTTGGTTACCTGGGGCACAGCAGGGTCTGTGCCACCAAGGACTGTGAGGAGACACCTTGTCCTGAGGCCCTGGGGCCTCCTGGCACAGCCCCAGCCAGGCTGGGCACTGTCAGCCCTTTGTCCTTCCCTCAGCATCCCCCCCTAGCCCACATCCCAGTGGCCTCAAGGATCTGCTGGAAGGAGTCCCTGGGGAGCCTTGCTCAGGAATGGCCCTGGGAGCTCCTTAATGCTCCCTGCAGGGACTGCAGGTTTTTCAAAGGACTTTGGGTTTGGCTTTTTCCTTGGTGTCTCTGAGAGGTTTGTGCAATCATGGCCTCCAATTATCTGCTGTAATTAGTCTTTGGAGATGCTTTGTGAGTAACAACACTCACTGGGGCTCATTTATGCTTCAAGGTGCTTCAGTTATTTTAAGGTACTTGGTGTTTCCCTTTTGATACAGACTCTGTGAGGGTTGTGTAATCATGGGCCCAATTATCTGCTTTAATTAGTCCCTGGAGAACTTTGTACTGACACTCAGTAGGGCTCATTAGTGCCTTGAGATACTGAAAGTTTTTAAGGTTCTTCATGCATTTAAGAATACTTTTAGGTACTTTTAAGGTTTTTTCTTCCCACACTGAGTCTCTGAGAGGTTTTTGTGCCATCCTGGCTTCCAATTACCTCCTCCAAGGAGCCCATGGGGAGCCTCTGTTGGGTATCTTCCTTCATTTTGTTTTATAACAAGGATGGAACTGAAAGAATTTTTTAAGACTTTCTAAAAGCATCCAAACAAACATGGGAGAATTAACAAGGCAACAACAATTACTAAGAGAATCAATTGTCCCGTTTTAGCTAGACATCATCCAACCCTTTAGTCCCTTGGACTGGAAGAGTTTATTCACCCAGTCTTTGTTTTCCACTTAAAGCTTCTTGAACCCTTCCTTCTGAACCTGAATGCTCTTGTGCATTGACTCTCTGTGGCTGGAGAGGTTCATGTAACACATCCCTCAGAGTCTACACTGCCATGCCCATGTTCCCAGAGTAAAAACTCTTTCTCTGTTCTGCAAGGTGGCATGTCTGATGGTCCCTATGTCTGAGAGCAGACCAGAGAGAGAGATAGCATTGGTTTGCTTACTTAACAGGCACCCAGGATGGTCTAATTGTCCTAAAGCTTTAGATGCAGCCACCCAAGGTAGTCCAAATTGGGGGTGCTACCATCCAATACCTGGATTAAAGCTTGCAAAGCCATTTCTTTAATGGCTTTCTTTAATCATCCAATACTTCTCTGAGGATACCTGCTGCTTGATCATCTGATAGGTTGTGTTGTCCTTCTCCAGCTAAATGGTTGTTTGTCAATTCTGCGCTTGCCTCAATATTAGCATAGTCTGCTATTAATTGATTTAGTAAACACTTCCATCGCTATTCCCACAGGGTGTACTCTGTAGGAGTTAACAACATGGTCATAATATATTTTAACTCATAGAGGGTTAAGACATATGCTGTAAACATGGCCCTAATTAGGCCATTAAAACAAGCTCAGTCCTTCCTATGGTCTTTAGCTGGCCTACACAGCTCCTTGATTTCCTCGTAAACCAATGGCTGATACCTGGGATTCTGCCCCCTTCTTTCATAACATCCTGGGGCAATGAGGCATTTCAAGACGATTTGGCAGTCTTGTTCCTTTTCTAAGGATCTTCTGGGAGTGAGGGGTGAGGTGGATCTGAGGAGTCCAAACTGTCTTCTGGGGAGGAAGAATAATTTGGAGCAGAAACATTTGGATTAGAAATAGTGTGACAGCTGGGCTTAATATCTTTGATCATGGGGTTATATTGTTGCCGAAGGGTGAGGCAAAGGGCACTGCCATTTTGTCAGGTGTTGGGGAGGAAGGGCCTTGATTTAGGATGGCAGATTTCCAGGGTGGAATTCTGGAGGCATGGCCCAGGATGGAGGTGGAATGATAAGGAGTGGGGCATGACCCACAGTTGTGGGGGTGGAGTCTGGAGGTTCATTCAGGGCTGAAGAGAAGGTTGTGGTAGCAGGAAGTGAAGGAGCCAAGATGGAGGGAGGATGGTTGGGCTCCCGAGCCACATTCAGGCTCCTTCCATCTTGAGTCTCGAGGGCATGATGCTCCAAGACCATGTGGCCGTCACCATCTTGGACCGCCGTGGAAGGTTTGAGAAAGGCAGGTTTGAGGGGAGGTCCTGAGGTAGGAATGACCAACGGATTGACCTTCCAAGACACTGCTTGCTGGTGAGGGTGGTGTTGAAGATGGGGACTATGTGGGGGGCAATGGGGCCCCTTTGTTTCAAAAGTTGAACAGTTTAACTCCCACTGAGTCCCAAAATTCAGTGGTATAGATTTCATTAGCAGAGGCGTCTGGAAAATTTTTAATGATCCCCCTCGAGATTGATTTCAATTCGTTCTTTGAAAATACTTTGTCATGATCAGTGAGAATTAACTTAAAGCATCCATATATGCTCCTTTCTACTTGGGAAATCTGTCTGCCCATTTTTCTCTTTCTCTGCCTTATGAGGAAGAGCCACCGGAACACCCCAAATCAATTATGGGACTTGGGTGCATATTGTAAAAACACAGTGGCAAAATGGGCAATAAATGTCTTGCATTTCCCTAAATCCACCTGCAATCCTATGGAGGTGAAATCGTCGTTGTCCCTGCATATCCTGGGAAAGGTCCCTTGAAACAATGATGAATCTGCCGGGCCTGGCCCAATCCAAAATCCCAGGGAGCACTGGCCTATCCATCAGCTAAACCCAGCTGACGTAAGTGACACAGGGATTCCTGAGTGTAAGGGTCCCTGTTCGGGGGCCAAATATCACAGCAAAGGTGTCTGTGAGAAACCTCTCTCATTCTCTGACTTCAGGCTGAGGGTGGCAAAAATGAAAAGGAGCAGCATCAATGGAGTTGTTTAAAAGGAATTTTAATAATGGGGTGAAAAACAATAAATATGGAGAAGTTGAGAACAGTATGAGGGGCAGGATCCAAAGACCTGAGTCAAAGGGGAAGCAACAACACATACACTTGGGAGTAGAAAACTAGAACAATAACCATATAGGGGAAACAAGTAACCAATAGGGGAGTAGACACTTGGACAAGTTGGCACAGCAACACTAAAGGCTTATGGGGGAACTCTCAAACTCAACCTATGTTAAAAGAATGATTCTGAGGGCTTGAAATTCATGCGCAATTCTTTTGGGGTAAAATCTGGCAGACTCTGAGTTACAGCCGGGCTAAATACCGCACCGTTGATTTGCACTGGCACCTTGGGATCATGCGGCCCAACAGAGCCACAATGATGTCCTTGGTTCCACGAAGCTCTACAGTGTCACAATGGTCCCTTGGATCCATGGTGCTCTGCAGTGTCACAATGGCCGCTTCATTTCACAAGGCTCCCAATGTCACATTGGTCTCCACAGGAAGGAAGCACAGAGCCCCATGTTTCAAGAACTGATGAACAGCAACGACCAGAGGCCAAGGCAAGCCTGACTTGTCTGTCCTGGCAGGTTTGCTTGGAGCAACCCTTGGATATTCAAAATTATGAATGTGGAATCCTAATTTCAGAATTTTACCTGGAGAAGCATAATTTTTTCCATACAGAGAAAAACACAGAGCCCTTTCCAGTGTTTGGAAAACAAGTGAG